GGACTCCATTTAAGCTGCCATCAGTGCAGGCTCCAGCATCCAACTTTGCCTGTGGGTCTGTGCCATATGTGCAGATACATATTCAAGGACAAATCRCAAGGCTGGGAGAAAGTGACAAATTTGAGTGATGGGTTCCTGTTTTTTCACACTTTTGTAACACAACGTATCTGCTCAAACGATGTGGGTTGTATTGTAGGTCAATGAACAAATAGATTTCCAGACTTTATTTCCGCTCCATATTGTGTGCACACACACCTATGAAAAAAGCCTGTGCTCTTCCTGCTGCCTGAAACATTCCTGTTTTCAAATGCAGTTTCTGTATAAAAAAACTACAACTGAATAAWTTTTTCAGTGTCTGTGTACTAAACAATATATTTTGCAAACAGAAAAATGATGTTTAAAATGGCTGGTATTCTTTTGGCGTCCTTGCTGCCTCTAAAATGAGGATCTAGTCCTATTGTGAAACCTCTTCTGTAGCATTGTATGGTGTCCAACTGATTTTATAGCCTCATGATTGAGGTGATGAACTTAAGATAAAAGGAAATACAAGGAACTCTTTTGAAGGCAGATATTTGAATCAGCTTTTTATAAATTCTGGGATGCTGAATTTCTTTCCCAAGGTTCCTTTTTAACTGCTTGTCTGAAAATCTGCTGCTTCTTTTGTCATGTAGAGATCAAGTTGCATGTTTAATAATTATGCCTTGCAATGTGGAACTGATACAAAAAATTAACTTTCAGAACAGTCTGTTCTTGTCATTTGGTTACTGCAAGATTTAATACACTCCTTATTTTTTAGGATCTGTGAAAGTAGTTCTTTATTTCCACTTCTGAAAGTTCTTTGTGAATAATGTGCACCAATATTTTAAAGTGTTTTTACACCATTTAGCACTTCATATAAATCAAATAYAAATGTAAGCCTCTATTTTGAGGGTTATATTGTTGACCTAGAGAGCAGGTGGCATGGAGGCTGACTGGAGTAATAATGGTAATATAAATATAGCTACTGGCAGCACAAGTGCTCAGGGAGGCAGATGTGCTGTCAGAAGGGGCAGTTTGGAATCTTGCAGGTTCATGCGTTGTTCTCATCAGAAGGGTGGTCTTAAATGAAAAATGTCCTTCAGGATAAAGTAGCATATTGAAAGGATTACAGCTGCACCCTGTAAATAGTGTTCCAGACCAAGCAGTCACAGCTCAGCACTCTTTTATTAGTTATCTCACCTCTTAAAATGTGATTTATTTTTTCAGGATACGTGGACATGTAATGCCAAACTCCTTTGTGATGTGAGTGGAAACCAGTAAAATTATACCACCTACCTCATAATTTACTAACTAAAACATTTAATCTCTGCTATAAATGATTCTGAGTAGACTTTAACATTTATGAGGTGCTTGTGAAATGCTGTTGGACCTTTCTCTTACATTTTTTGTAATTATTGAATCACTGTTTTTGTAGTGTTACTTCCTATGTTTGAAACTCTCCTGTTGTTTTAAGACATGAACTCTCAGTTGGTCCCATTGCACACACTGAAGTGCTGAGCTGTCTTACCCAGCTGAGTCTCACCCCCATCTCTGGGAGGCATTTTCATTGTCCACTCCATCCCCAAGAGAGCTGCAGTGTTCTCCTGGCAGTGGGCATCCTCCAATAAGTGCCTGGAAATAGCTCATCAGCTGTCTGATGTTTGCTCCCTCCTTCCTTCCATCTCCAGGTGTTTTCTGTCTGGGATGTAACTTCTCCAGATTAATTTCCTGGTGATTTGGGAAAAGCAAAGCTCAYAATGGCACTGCTCATGGTTGTTTAATGTCCAGCTCTGGTGCTTTTGCTTTGTCCCCACCATTTGTGGTATTTTTTGGGATTATAGGGGCTGTTACCAGCTTTGGAGAGACAGAAAGGGTGCATTGTCATTTCTCCAGAGGACTGGAAAAGTGCTGCAGAGGCCAGGACGTGGCAGGCTGTGTGGCTGATGGGGTTTGTGAGGGCGATTTTGAGACTCACGTGAAATGAGGCATAGTGGAACAACAGGTATAAAAATTGATTGTTTTGATTGTGCTCTTTGTTGTCAAGACCACAGTGGTATTAAATGTGAACTACTGCCTATTGATTCCACAGCTGCACCGTGTTTGTCARGGTGGAGGTGCAGAATGAAGACAGTTCCTCCATGGATAGGATAATATTTCAATTGCATTGAGATGTCATCTGCTAGGACTTTCTTCCTTCCTTATTTGGAAACCCGGTTTCCAAGGGATGCTTTCAGGAACAAAGCCCAAGGCAATCCTCCTTCTAATCTTGCATGCATTTAATGCTGAATTACCTACATTATAGGAAGTATTAAAGGTCATATTGTTTGAGTAGAACAAGCGTTCAGGAAAGGAAAGGATTTGTCCATTCCTGTTCCTGGATCATGTTTTTTGTGATGTATGTCTGGTAATTTWAAGTCACAATTACCAGAGCTGTGCTGCTGCAAGGGAGTGTTCTCTCTTTAAATGTCTTCTCAGCTCTAATGACTAGAGCAAAGCTTGTAAAAACGAACCCTGAAAGTTCAAAAACTAGAAGGTAGTTAGGGAGATTTAAAGGTTGCTGTTCTGCTTTTTCATCCAGTACCAYGAAATTCCAGAGCTTTATGCATTCATTCTAAAAATTTCTGGGGCTGACTGTGTTGGAATAAACAGAACGACGTCATTTGAATAGAAAAAGTGCCTTCTGCCAAGAGGTACCATCTTCTCTAAAAAGCATAAATTAAATACAGCTGCTCATGTGATGAAAGAGATGTATATGCATGTCTAAGTAACATTCTACCTAAACAAGCAGAATAATGTATAATACCTATATCTTACCTGTTTTTTTATTCATTTGCAGTGGCAAAAARCTGTCCTTGCTATGTAGGCTTCACAGTTGGAAACCATTTCTTTCTAACAAATGAGAGTGGAAGAAGTACCTTTTTTAGAATATAAACCACACAACCTGTTATAGATGCTAATGATTTATTATCTTACGCACTTGAAGTGTTTTGATTAGATCTTGACAAGTTTGTCTGACGACGGGAATTTATTTCCCGATCCTGTAAGCTGTCAGCCTTGYGATAATTCACACATGGAATTTGCTTGGTACTGTTAAACTGTAATGAAATTTCAGATTATGGAGAACTCATACTTGAAAAGAATAACAGCATGTAAGAGATTTTTTTTTTTTTAATTTATTAGTTTTTAGTGGCTGTAACTTTTTGGTATCTTTGAAAAACTCCAGGTCAAATCCCATGTATGATCAGACCAGTCACTGCTGTCAATAACGTTKTTAGTCATGTCAGTCAGCACAAACACTGTAACTAAGGATGGAAAAGAGATTACCTTACCAGATTTTATGGATTAAATATTTTTTCTATTGATTTTCTTGTTTTTCAGTATTCAGTAAAAACAC